AACGAAATATCTTACTAGACATAATGTCGTACCTTACCGTACTCATTGGAGCAATGTTCTCCCACCGGAGATTCTCTTTTTCAGTGTCATAGCGCTCCACCGAATTCAGGAAGCAATCCTTGCTGCTTTTACCTCCCACTAAAATATGTTCAAGTCGAAAACGATCGCTCACTCTAAAAGTTTAAAAGTATACGCGAATGACGCGAGCTTGCATTACTTTTTTGTTTTTTTGGTGGTTTTTTATTAAGTTTTTGTGAGAAGCCAACGTAACGGTGGAACTAAGGAGTGCAAAATTAATGGACTCAGTTTGTGTTCACAAGATATTCTTTCAAATTCTAAAAAGTCTCATGCTCGGATGCGCCATGCACCGATAGGTCTCCATCTTAGTTAGCAGTCGACCCAGTAAACATGGCCGCACCTAACATTAAGTGTGAGCGCAGTTTCAGGACTGAGCACGTCAACTATGCGCGACCGTGGAAGACTTAGAAAAAGTTATTATCCGTACAGCGTAGCTAGAAGTTCACAACGCGCGCGTTTGCTTGGATTGCATTGCATGCCTCTTCTTTATCCCAAATTTCAAACCTCTGGAGCAAGCATGGAATTTCGCCATTGTGAAGAGTTCTGCTGCACTCACCAGATGCGACTTGGAATTTTTACAGCAGTATGTGTATAAGAAACAAGACAAAAGTGTAAGCCACGGATCTCTTTCACTGAGGGTCCTCTCTCACTGAAAGATCTCGAGCCGGTTGGTGGCGAGGCTACGTGGCGCGACCCCAGGTGGCGGATAGGGGTAAATCGCGGACCAAAAGCCACCATGTACTTGCCCTGAGACGCAGGTGGATTCAGGGGATGGACTCCCTGTTTCTGTAGTGCTGTGTTGATTCATACCAGCTGTCTCCACTCAGGCGTATCCATGCATGCTTGCGTGTGTGGTGCGCTCTGTGTGTGTGCGGTTGGTATCCTGCATGTCGGCACAGCCAAAAGCTTGCATTCAAGTGACTGGGAAGTACATGGGAGGCGATTCGGGGCCGCCTCCAAAAAATAAGCCCCTTGTTCCGCTCCAGGATAGCGTGGCTAACTACCTGGAGGTCTATCCTAGCCCACACGACAGAGCCTGGCAAGCTACTCGTGTGCCTTCAATATGCCGAAAACAGCAATATGGATGGGCCTCATTCCCCTGAACCTGAGGGAGCCCCCAATACGGCAGCGTTGGGTAGGACCGCTCGGGAGAGGCTGCTAGAATCTCAGGGCCCGGATAGGCTGCCTAAACGAAGAAGGACTAAGATGGCGATCTGTACTTTCAACGCACGAACGCTTGCATCCGAAGCTCACATCGAAGATCTGATGATGCAGGCCAGGAAAGATCAAGTACGACGTCATCGGACTGACCGAGACGAGAAGGCACCGCCCGCTACACGCCGTTTTCGATACTGGAGAAGAACTGTTCCTTGGAACATGCGACAGCAGAGGCGTTGGCGGTGTGGGTGTCCTCGTCAACACGCACTTGGCCATAAACATCGATTCGTACGAAAGCCTTACGACCCGAATCGGACGTTTGAGGTTGAAAGATGTGGTTCAACTCCTGCTTTGACAATCTTCGTCGCCTACGCACCAACATCGAGCTACGACGAGGAGGAACACGAAGCATTTTATATGGAATTGGAGAAGTTCTACAAGGAAGATCATACCTTCTTCAAGGTCATCGTCGGCGACTTCAACGCCAAGATTGGCCCGAGAAGAACGGCTGAAGAACTTCACATCGGTACTCACGGAATGGATTGGAATGAGCAGGGCGAAAGACTGTCTGAGTTTATCATGTCGACCAACACCATCCATGGTAACTCGCAGTTCCAGAAGCCCTCTCACCTTCGTTGGACTTGGGAGTCACCTGATGGACAGTTCCATAACGAGATAGACCACATCATCTTCAATCGAAGGTTTTGCCTGACCGACGTCGCTGTTGTTCCAAAGTTCTACACGGGATCGGACCATCGTCTCCTCCGCGCGCGCAAGATTCCACTTCTCGATGCGTGTTGAGAGAGCAGCAAAGTTCAGGAAGCGAAAGTCCCAGGACAGTCATCAACTGGGACCACTTCGCTTCCCTCGTCAGCTTATGGGAGGATTCCGTCATCGAAAACATCGACGAGGAGTACTATCGGCTCGTTGAACATCTTCACGATTGTGGCAAGAAGGCAGAGAGTTTGAAAGTCACCAAGGGACGTCTGTCTCCGGAAACTCTCGAACTGATACGCCAGCGTGGAGCCGCACGAGCTGCAGGCAATCACCGACTCACGTCCGAGCTTGCGAAGCTATGCAGAGAGGCGATAAAGGAAGATCTCAAGGAGCGAAGAGCAGCAGTATTAGCTGAAGCAGCAGAGGCTGGGAGGAGCATCCGCAATGCCCGCCGAAGCTTGCCAGCTACAAGACCAAGATGACCTGCCTCCGACGTCCGGATGGAACAGTTACTGCATCCCGAAGGGCAATGGAGAAAGTCATCCACGACTTCTACTCGGATCTCTTCGATAGCCATGTCCATCTGCCTACTTATCAACCGCAAGAGGATGGATACGTTGTCCCCTCAGTTCTCTCTTCCGAAGTCCGACACCCATCAAGTCGGTGAAGAATCGTACAGCACCCGGTCTCGACAGGGTCAAACCGGAACATCTGAAGAACGCACCGCCAGTTATCATCAAAACTCTGGCTCGACTCTTCACGCGCTACCTGTCGGAATGCAAGGTACCCACTCCGTGGAAAACCAGCAGGACCGTGTTGCTGTACAAGAAGGGAGACTTGGACGACATTGGCAACTATCGCCCAATCTGCCTGCTGTCTGTAATCTACAAGCTATTCACTCGAGTCATCCTTAACAGGATCGGCAGAATACTAGATGAAGGACAGCCATGCGAGCAAGCAGGGTTCCGAAGAGGGTTCAGCACGATCGACCATATCCACACGGTTACAAGACTCATTGAAGTTTCACGAGAGTACAAGATGCCGCTTTGTCTCACGTTCATCGACTTGAAGAAGGCCTTCGACTCTGTGGAGACAGAAGCGGTCATCGAAGCCTTGGGCAACCAGGGCGTCCCTACTCAGTACATCAAGATTCTTCGTGAGCTCTACAGCAACTTTACGACCAGGATCTCACCATTCTACAAGGAGGTCATCATCGACGTCAAGAGAGGGGTCCGACAGGGCGACACCATCTCGCCCAAACTCTTCAGCGCCGCTCTCGAGAACGTCATGCGTCAACTGGAATGGGAAGACATGGGAGTGAAGGTCGACGGCCGGCAACTACACCACCTTCGTTTTGCTGACGACATCGTTCTTATAACGCCGAACATCGAGCAAGCGGAGCGAATGCTGGCTGATTTCGACTGCGCCTGTGGTAAGGTTGGTCTACAGCTGAACCTAACGAAGACGATGTTTATGAGAAACGGATTGGTTCCTGATGCCCCATTCACGCTCAACGGAACGAACATCACCGAATGCTCCAGCTACGTGTACCTAGGTCGGGAAATCAATATGATGAACGATCTAGCTCCAGAGCTGAGCAGGAGGAAACGAGCGGCTTGGGGAGCGTACAAGAACATCGAGGGAGTAGTGAAGAAGACGAAGAACATCCGGCTCCGTGCCCACCTCTTCGATTCCGCTGTCCTTCCTGCCCTAACCTACGCCTCAGAGACTTGGACTCTGCGCAGGCAGGACGAGCATGCGGTCAGCGTTATCCAACGCGCTGTCGAGAGGACGATGCTAGGAGTAACCCTATACACGCAAGTGCAGAGGGGAATCCGGAGTTCCGAACTACGCCAACGATCGAAGATCAGGGACGCTGCCGTTTTCGCCAAGGAATCGAAGATAAGGTGGGCCGGACACGTCATGCGATTTTGCGATGACCGTTGGACCAGAGCGGTTACCGACTGGATCCCTCGGGACGTCAAACGAACACCTGGACGACCGCCGGCCCGATGGTCAGACTTCTTCACGAAAGCTCTGAACGAAAGGAATGAAGGACTTCGTGTCCCTCGAGCGAGGAGGATCCACTGGACACTCTAGCACGCGACAGGGACGAATGGAGACGTTGCTGGCGCCCGCTCGAGCAATTCGATGATCAACGGGACGACAGGTGATACAGGTGATACAGTATATACTTGCTAAGTGAAGAAGGATTGCCTCTAAAACATATCAAAAATTGAAATGATTTGATTCGCCAGAAAGAAAGCTACGGTCGAAAAAGCATTTGGCCGGATACTTTTGAGCGCCACTGTATGCTCATTTACTTCCATAAATTGTGCATCAAATGTTCGCTCCTCGCCTTGTCTGGTCGCGGCGGTACTACCTGATCAAAACTGTTGTTGTTGACTGACCTTCAGATTTGCAACTTTTGGCTCATAATAATAATACTCCGGCCAAACTCACTTTAGGGGGCATGTAGGTTCGAATGCTGGATCATGATATGTTGCGAGGTACGGCAGCGAGAGCACCTCTTCAGCATTCGACCGATTCCATGGTGAGATTTGGAGTAACTAAATGTAGGACTACGTATGATGCATGCCAATAGCGAGAGCACCTCTTCAGCATTCGACCGATTCCATGGTGAGATTTGGAGTAACTAAATGTAGGACTAATATGATCAGTGAAAATAGCGGAAACGTTGATTTATTGATTGGTCAATCACCAGCGTTGGTAGAAAAGCTCACCTTGTCGATCACTTCCAAAGCTTCAGCGCTAGCCTTTGGGAGGATCGCCGACCATGGGAGTGGCTCCTTCTTGCCACAACTTTCTATCCACCCGAGCACAATGTCGGACGTGATTTGCGACATCACCTGTATGGAGGAAGAGATGTGAACATTCTTAGAAGATATGCATTGACTATTTTTCTCGTCACTCACACGCTCTTCTGGAGTTCCCAAGTAGTAGACGATCATTTTCACTTGCGACACCCCATCTTTACCAGGAAAGATCTGCCGTCGCATGATCATCTCGGCGAATATGCAACCCGCTGACCACATGTCTACCCTCAAAGGATACTAACGATTTAATGATTGATCAGAACCATAGGTAGAATACCTACTTGGTATCGTAGTCGATCATTGAAAAGAGGAGTTCGGGCGCGCGATACCACCTCGTAGCGACATACTGCTGCAAACAGTAAACATTTTTGAGGTCTTCGAAGTTGTGTTGGTATGAATTCTGCTGAAGGAATAGTAGAAAAAGCTAGGGGTGCCTACTGCAAAAATCCACTGCAGGACGTCTCAGAGACCACACAAAAATTATCGAAGCGAATGAAGGGAAAGAAGTGAACTGCCCAAGATGGGCGGAGCTCATCCGGGACTCGCAGAATAGTTTCGAGACTGTGTGGAGAGCAAGAGAGCGGATAAAACCAAAATTAGAGGGTCTTCTATCACAGTGAGCAGGGATTCCATCACAATTCGCATTAAATTTAAATTGATCAATACTGTCGGATTCTATTCAAAATCCAGAGAGTCTAGAAGGAATCACAGGAACACCCCACATTGCCTGCATGCAATCGGTGAGCGCGAGAGCTCGTAGTGCTACCTTTCTTTCGGTGTGACTCAATAAGGATTGATTTCTTGTTAGGGTTTCTCTCAGCATCGCGCACCATGTTAGCGATCCGGAGCAGGCAATCACCGTTCACCAAGAGATTCGATGGCTTCAAATCTCGATGCACAATTCCAACTGAGTGCAAATACTGAAAAGGTTACAGTTTTCGGGAAGAGGGAGGTATTGGGATGCACTTTCAAAGAGCTGCACGCGCTCCACATTTTAGTCCCTCTGAGCAGTTGATAGAGAAAGTACTGAAAGTGCTGCTCGACGAGCGCTTGGCGACTGTGAATGATCTGATGCAGATCAGTTTCCATGAGGTCCATCACCATGTAAATATCACGGCCCTTCAAATAGAACTGATAATTTGATATGCGATTTTTTGGACCTTCAAGGGGAGAATTGTATAGAAAACGCCCAAAGCCCCTAGAAGGCTTATTCTATGATTCTTATTACGTGGCCTTAATGAGTTAGAAAACGGAAAAAAGTCTTTGTGGTCCTCGAGCGGAGAGAAAAGGAAAAGTAATCTCGTCGTGATGCATGAACGATCCTTTTGGTGAATATAATGCCACGTTATGATGAGCTAACAGGGGATGGATAGACTTTGATAGTGGATAAGGCCAGTAGGAAATATGGATGGTATTATTTTTTTGTGCGGTCCACAGGGAAGAAAGTACAGGAAACCGGAAAGACTTACAAAAGCATTATCTTTCAGAGAGTTGGTTCAGGCTATTAGGAACTAAGTAAAGTGCTGAATGGAAAGAGTCATTGACAAGTGGTAGAGTACAGACAAGTGAAGCGCAGACTGAACAAGTGTGATTGCAGGCTGGGGCGCGGGACTGCAGCGAGGGGGGGGGGGGGGGGGGGGGGGGGGGGGGGGGGGGGGTATCAGGACTAATTTGATGTCCTGTCCCGTCCCTTGAAGCATGGGAAGTTGGTAATGTGAGCAGGTGGGTGCTGCAAACGAGAAAATGTCTCGTTCAAGAATAGAAGAGATTGTAGAAATCAGGATATCGTGAAATGTGCCTTTAGTTGAAAATATTAAGCAGCATATTTTGAATTTTAAAGATGGAAATATGATTAACTGCATGTAGAATAATCACAAGTGACTCACATGAGTCGTCCCTCGCAGCAGTGAACATACGGCTCGAGTACGCGCGAGTGTCTCGTGTCGAAGTTCCCGTAGTATACGCACCTCGCGCAGCGACCGTTCGCCAGCGTATGCGCTGCAAAAGCGCGAGGAATTTTCTTGATAGCCACGGCTCGTTGTGAAGGCTGTTAGAAAACAGAACTGTTAAAAGCGTAGGATAATTGAATAAACTGTAATTGGCTTCTTTTTTGTCTTTGTATGGCAGTCTCAAATCATAAAGCGTACAAGCCGTGAGTCACTGAATGCGGACGGTTGCGGTCTACCATGTTATTGAAAACCATATCTCTGAGAGGTGAAGAAAATGGTGACGAAGTTAGCGATCACTCCACTTTTGCATTTTGATCCATGAAGGAGTGATTTGTGCAGAACTCGCTGGGATCCCTAAGAGGCCGTCTGCGCGGCCGAAAGGAAGGAGATGCAGTACGCGGACAAAGGACGAGTCGCAGCGCATACTGTAGCGGTTAGGCGTCAGGTTAAACATAGTGTACCATACTACGTCTCATATCGCACAGCACGCGCTGCGACTCGTCCTTCGCCGCATCTGCGTCTCTTCCTTCGCCGCGCGATGGGCCTCTTGGAGGAACCCGACAATCGCGTGGCGTACGATACCAAAAAAAAGGACATGCCTAGTGTGCGTACAGTGATTACACACCTAGAAAAATTCCAATGGTGTCTCCCATGGCTTGCACTCAACCCTCATCGGCTCGGCCCAACACTATTGAATTCTATTTGGTGCATAGAGGTGGTTTCGGAATGCAATAGTCGTTACAAAATAATATCACCTCTTGATATGAATTTTTAACAGACGTCAATAACGAACGCCAAAATTATATAGGCAATATCGTACTGTTGCTTAAAATACTAAAGATTAGATTGGGCCTTACATAGATTCCTTAGATACTAGTGAGAATGCTGTACTGGTCAACCACAAATTACTACGGCCTATTAGAGGAATCTACCCGGCGGAAACAAGTCCCGTACCACATTACAATAGAAAACGATACCCCTTAGGCCCCTAGCCTCATGAGCATAGCAAAAAGAACGGAACATAAGTGTTAGTTTCGATAATACTAATCCTACACACAAGACAAAATGATCACTCTTTCCGTGGAAGATTCCTTCAAGGTATCGTTTTCTGTGGTAATGAAGTAATGAGGGCGACAATTTTCGTGGAGACTCTCAAAGTAAAAAAAAAAACCCCTTCATCAACGTAGACAACGTGCCATTGATATGCATGGTCAACGGGCTACTTCGTAAATCTTACGGTTTCTATTGTATTAAATATAATATTACAATGAGTCGAGAAGCTCACCAAGTGTTTTGCTTTGCAGACAACTCCATAGGCGCCAGTGCCTATCGTGTCATCGGCAACGTACGGCGTTCCTTCCAGATGGAACCGCACGTCCATTCGGCATTGTTCTAGCATAGTCTGAAAACAGGCACACACTATTGAGAAATTAGATAACCTTTGAACTGGGAAATCAAAAAATGACTTCATTTTTGGGCTAGTTGGTTTTTAATGTTCGGAAAAAAATTACTCGCGCATCCATTTCGTTAAATGATACTGTACTGGCGCTTAGTCCTCAATGGTTCCGGTAGATGTTACCAAGTCGGGAAGATTCGCGGCTGGTTCTTTTATTTTAGAAAGGCCACAAAAGGCTGCTCAAATTAGGGAGGAGTTAAACCAAGACCAGCAAGATGTGAAATCGTAGAATGATGTCAAATTTTCTGCGGCAGAACCCCCCTATTCTGTCAAATGGGTAAGGCTGCCTTGAACGAATCCGTTGAGAAACTTGGGAATGTGATACATTTAACGCCTCTATCAACACCATCATCTCTAATCGCTAAGGGAACAACCCTAATTCAGGCCGCTCACATTTTTTTAGAAACCAGAAAGCCTTTGAGACAATTTTAGAGCACAATTTTTCGATCACTATCAATATCACGGTGAAAAAAAAATAATGCTATGAAATCACCAAACCTATTGTATGCATTCCTGAGACTCAATGAGCATCAATAAAGTTTCCTGAAAAAGGTTGTCCTTTATCATTTCGAACATGGTATAATCGAGGCTATAGTGCAATGGTTCAGTTGATCGCTACGGTAGCCATCTATGCTGTAATCGTGAAGTTTCGGCAAATAGCATTGTAAAAGGGTAGTCTTCTCAAGAAAAGGCTGTCAAATTCGATATAAGAAGACGTTTCGAGAGCTAACATAATAATGGGACAGACACACTTTCACAGAAGAAAATTAATTTAACATGTATAAGGAAGCAAGCACGAGCGCGACTCTGCTCCGCGAAGCGTTTCATTTGATGGGCAAAGTCCAGGTTATGGACTCTTTGAATGCTAACAAATCGTAAGAATGTAGAATCTGGCTGTATAAATATGAGTCAATTTGTAAGATAGCAAAAAGCATAATAGGGAGCGCTGTCAGTCCCATTTTATGCGCACACTCATTTCATTCTCATTAAGAAAATTTCTGAACGCAGACTTACAATGACTCAACGTGTCAGGCACAGATAACCTTGCTGCTGATATATGCCAGTTGAGCGTTCGCGGACGACAGCGACAAGACGTTAACTCCCAGCTTTTCTTCGTTTCGCGGGCAAAATGGCTAAAGGTGACAACGAATGCGGATCATATGATTAAGGAACTTAGAGAAGTTTCATGGAAATTGCGGCTTATATTCAGGCAACGGCATATCTTTGAACGACTGCGATGCTGGACCAGTGTTTCCATGTCTGCCATGAAATTCGGTTTGGACTCATTTTCCAATTGTGGAAACTCTCTTATATTCAGACTAATCAAGTAGTTAATTATACCATATGAATATATTTATTCAGTAAGAGTGTACAGAACTGCGAGATAGTAACATCCAATACGCAAAAGAGAGGGCTTGATTAGGTGCATTTATGGAGAAAAGACTTGGGTGGCCTGATTTGAAATCGCCACTCAGGAATTCCAAAATTAGGTCTTAAGAAGGTACGGTAGGTTCCGATCCCGTTGGTTACTTTTTCGCACTTCATAATCCTCTTGGTAAGGCGTTTTCTGCCGCGAAAACGCTACAAATCGTCTGCTAGGACCATCCCATACCTCCCTCTACCCAAACTTTTTTCTTTTATACACATGAATTTCATCAGTGAGTTTTGTCTTAAGTCCGTGAAGTGTTGAGCTCAATCCACTACGAATGTTTACGACATACGTAAGGAGGGACACTGAAGATACGGTGTGCAACAGAAGGTAATATGTCGCGAGTAGATCGGGTGCCGTGGGACTTGGCGATAGCAGTTCGCTTCGATGCAGTCGCTTGCCTAGAGCGATTGCATCGCGATAGACAGCGATGAAGCGGACGGCGTCGCTCCGACAGTCGTCTATCTGCGATTGCAATGGCCGGTCTGAACCGAATACTACCGCGCAGTGGCAATTCATGTGAGACAATTCTGAGAACGCCGTGCCCTAGCATCCATCCAGAAATAGATGCGTTTTTGTATTCATGTTATGACATACCATTCCTTGTAAAAACTCCTTTCAAGAAACCGATACGCTGGATTCACGTGGATCTGCTACCCTCGCGATTATCATGGCTATAAGCGTTTGAGATAGTCTAAGTGTTGCGAGTATTTGATTCCATCCAAGGAAGATATACGATAAATAAGAAGATGTTGCTTGTAATGAGGTGCACTTTGAAACGAAAACGAGGTGCTAACGATGACGATATCATATCTAGTATGCTGCTATTGCAGCCCCTTCCATACTGATACGGATTTGTTTTTGACAGTCTGGAATGGGTTTGGGCAGGGTCAACCCTATCGTTGTTACTTTTCGAAAATTTTTTACGACCCCCCTCCCCCAAGGTGGATTTGGTACGACCCCCTTCCGACCCTCGAACCACCATATTCCTCTCTATAACATTAACTTCCACTACCACTCAACCCTCAAAACTCCGCCCACTTTTTCCTCCAAAAATGCCGTCGAGCGGGGGGGGGGGGGGGGGGGGTATATAGTCCCTCTGAAACAGTAAAAATTTTCCCATAATTTCCCACAATCCCCTAAATTTTCCACCAATTTGCCCAATTTCTCCCTATAATCTCACTGTTTCCTTTTCTAGGGGGGGTATATACGCCGGCTGAAACGGCAAATTTTTATCTTGCGCGCCCTCTACTCGCACAACCTACTACCCACGGAATCTCGGTTTCTCCTCACTCCCACACGTGATTTCGAGCGACTAAAGTGGGTACGACCCCCCTCCTACAAACTCAACCAGGTACGACCCCCCCGTTGTTACTCGTAACAACGTAGGGTTGACCCTGGTTGGGCCCCTTACGTCATTGATGAAAGGTGCTAATGGCCACTGGAATAGTACTTCTAGTCTAATCTGAGCACGGTCCTAAACATCCAGTTACGCGATTTCGTGATTCGTCCATGGGAATTATCGTGACCAATTCCTCGAATTGAATGATTTTATCGTTCTGGATGAGTTCTGAGTGGAGGAGCTACCGCGCTGTGTCCTTCTTTAGTTCGCAAGCTATTATAATGATATCTATCCAACTACTTACTTTGCGAGCATAAATTCAACAGCGATTTTTTTCTGCGATATCTGCTTAGTGCGCATATCGAATGAAGTTTCCGACTGAAATTGTTGAGGATGTGGAGCAATCACGAGCTTTTTTTATCGAGTAGGATTTGATAACACTCATGATCAGACTTGAAAGTTCCCGTCACATCTTACTAAAATACGTGCCCAGAAGGCGACAAAAAAAATTCGACCAACTTAACCGTAAATACATCTGAGTGTCCGAATACACTCGTTGAAAACAAGATTTCTGGACAAAGTTCAGGACCCATTCTGTGAGATGCGCAACGGATCCTAGTTAGCACGCATCCTACTTGCATCCAGGTCGCAAAACCTTTATAAATGCGATTTGGCCTGCGCAGTTACTGGGGAAGACGAGCCAATACGCCAGGCAGTATTTTTTACCCTCCCAGACAAGTTCTGTACCAATCAACTGAGCACAGAGAGACAGAAGGCTTGGTTGGCCTGGACGATGTGCGATCAAGAAATTGATCCTTAAACCAAGCTCTTGGAAAGCAACGACACTTGCCGCATCAAGACTTCCACCCCGATTATATTCGAGAGACATGACTGCGCTTTTATTCTTGGGAAAGAGAACCTTCAGAAAACAGTAAATGAGCATTTAGCCTGAAATTTCGATAAATATACTTGTACAGAAGTGCCAGTCATGGAAAAAACGGAAGAGACCCGAAGTGACACGGAAATCAGTATAAAAATGCAGGTGTATTCCATAAGAGTATATCAGCGACCTCATGAAAGTATGGGACCTGCCGAAAATGGAAGAAATGTTGCATACAAAGCAATGAAGCCACGATGACGTTAGATAGAAGTATGATACAATAGTGTAGACCTAACTTGGTCTAAGATGAAGGCTGTAAATCCGTTGATTCAAGGCTTGAGCTCGGAGCAGTTTCTTGTGAATAAGGCACGGGTACAAGAAGTTTTTCGATTTCTACGCGCCACGCCCCAAAACGCTCAAATCGATTCATCTCCCACGTTCAGATGGCATATGTGGGTGAAGGTATCAAATGGGTTTGACGATAAGGCGACGTACTTCACCGTATTTGATCTTATCGCCGGTATCACCACCGCGGCGTGAGGGCAAATGACCGTCAGTACTTCCTTCGCACTCCTGGTTTCATGGTCACACTGAACTCAGGTGATTTATCGCCCGTACGCCAAAATTAAATGGAATTGTGCTCCTCGCAAGTGGTTTCTCGTCCTCGATGTTTCAAATTCCGGTTTTTATGAGGACAAATATATCAGAGGTTATCGCGGGCAATCGCGACTTCATCTCCTATTCTTACTGTATCCGACTGCATTGGCTCAGGTTTACTATCATGTGCTTTCTAAGGTGTGTAGCGTTGCAAATTTAAACGCGCATCTTTTATGCGCAAGCGATATATAAACTTTGCGCTTCAGTTCAGCGTTGCTTTTTCTCCGATTGTTTTTTTTTGTGCTGAGAGCTTTTTGTTCTCAATAAAGCTTCCCGCTGGACCACCTTCAGAACAATGTCGATCGACCTTTTGCACTTCGACGATGAGGTTGAAAATCTGGTAGCTCGACCGATGAATCAGAGCTTCGTGATCCAAAAAACCCTTGAGGGCAGAAAGATGATCAAAATAGAAGCTTCGTATCCAGAAACACCTTAAAGGCGCACCCCAGGCAGAGCTCGTGTGAACGCTCTCTCTTCGGTTGTAGTATAGACCCTAGAGGACAATCACAAATGTGGCGTTCTCGTGCACGGAAACCAACCGATAAGAGCGCTTGGGCCTTGCAAAGTAAGCTGCCCAAGCTGCAGACTTTTTTCTTATCAGGCTGTTGTCTGGCGATCTCTCATCTGTAGCGCTC